GTCGGTACATAACACCACGTTATTATTTACTGATTACATGTTTCTATATCTGCTTTGGAATCAAATGTTGAGGATCAATGTGTTCATTTCTATATGGAGCTGTTGTTGAAGTGAAATGAAATAACAAATGTCCCGACAATCAGTTAAAAGGTATCAGGCTTTATCGAATGAAATATTCTTATAAAGTGTAAAAGTTTGTTGTTTCCATAACCTTATGGTAAATTCTAAATAAGAGTTGTAACATAGCATGTCCTTGTTATTTAACACATATGAATATTGTAGGTAAATAGAATAAACTTTTGTGGAATGAAATAAATATGAGCCGCGCCATGACAAAACCAATATAGTGCGTTTGCGACCAGCATGGATCCAGACCAGCCTGCGCATCCGCGCAGTTTCATAATGCTTTTTGCTTACAAATCCAATTTCAAGAAGAGATACTGATAGCGAACAGCATGGATCCTGAGCAGACTGCGGGGATGCGCAGGCTGGTCTGGATCCATGCTGGTCTCAAACGCACTATGTTGGTTTTGTCATTACGCGGCTCATATTATTTTAATAGGGTTTTAAGTTTATAGCAAGGAGTGAGAATCTGCGTCAGTCGCTTGTAAGAAAAAACTAACATATTTTATACAGGTATTGTAAAGTAGTATTTTGGAAAATTCAAACAAAAGTTTTGGAAACTATTGGCGGCAGATATATATCTTTCTACAATTGATCAGTAATACTTTTTTTGTTAATTCTTATATTTTTCTGTATCTTTAAATACGTTTCCTAACCATTATTGAATCATCAAAGCTTAAACTTTTGCTCGTAAGTGCACATGTGTGTTTGAATAAAGTTTAACATTGTACACATGTTTTGTTGACAATATTTGAAAATTAAATATATTTCTTGAGACAATATATCACAGGAAAGCATACAAACAAATGTTTCAGCATGATTATGATGTACTTCTTTACTTTCTATATCATAGAACGTCATTTATCCATTGCATACCTCTGACCTATATATCTAATTGATCCTTTACTCAGTATATCAATCCAAATGGTGAGAGTTATTGGGAAATAAAATAACCACTTTCTCAGCTAGGAAAGAGAAACTGAATTCCTAGCTGATCTAGGAGATATTAACTACGACATTTTTATCATTAAAATCGCCGACTATACCCAAAGGCCAAACTATACATATAATTGTCTTGTTCTAGAAGGTTATTGTATCATAGATTCCCTACGGTTCGGTGATGAATCAATGTTGTCTATTTTGTTTAGAAAGACACTGCTTTGTTGAAAATATTATTCAGGATTTCATTACACGTTATTGAACATATTTAGAAAACGTAAATCAAATTCGAAACCTTAAATGAAAATAATTTATGACCATTTTGTAGAAACGGATTGGTTTAATACATGATTTCAAAGAATTTCAAATACTGACGCACTTTTTATCATAGTACAAAGTTACATTGATGAGTTATTATAACCTGTGTTAATAAGAGATTAATACAGGGTTAAATCGATACTGAAATAACTTTCACAATATTCTTTTGAACTTACATGATAACCGCTGTGAATGTTACGAAATTCAAAAGTTTACCAGTTCACGTTAAATGTTGACTTCTGCTTAAGCCAATGCTAGGGGACTTGGACGGTAGCTTGCAATTACCACTTACATCCTTAAACAGGCTCAATCAAACTTAGTCTGCAACATTTTCAATAATTAAGTGTTGGGCTCTATTTTACATTATTTAATATCCTCTCTGTTTTTAACAGAATTTTATTTTTATAGATAATAGATTAAATAATTGTCTAAATTATGATGAGACAATAGATAATCTACTTTTCATTATAAATATTGACATTATTTGAAAGTGGCAAAGTGCAAAATTAAGTTACGCGTACAATATAGTGGTAATATTTGTAGCCTGAAATATGAGATGCATGGTTTTTTTTCTAATAAACCATTATTTTTATACAGCACTGAAAAAGTATAAGATTATTTTAATGTTAATATGTTTTAACAATAGTTTTATACAGAATAACTGATTTTGTAAGCTCTGCAATTTGAACGATGATGCAGATTGTGTTCTACATAACACTGGATTAATATTTCACTTCAAAATTAGTAAAATACAAACAACAACACGACTAACTTTGCATATGATTGTGATTTATTACGATATGAATTTGAGCATAAAATAATTCAAAGCACTGTTATACATTGATTATAAACACACAAAACCAACCAAGTTTTAACAATTCAGTGAAACTAGCCATGTTATTTTAATTCAAAGTTATGTATATCACGAACTAATTTCGATAATTTGATAAATGAAAGGTACATTTCTTCCGTGGCATGTCTCTGCGTAATCAATAATTAATAGAGCAAGAGATATAGTTAAATGTGTAAATGGTAAGAAAATGTATTTCCTATCAAATGACAATAATCTATGATAACTTAAATTTTCTATATTTTGTTTTATAAATTGTCCCCGCTAATTTTATGTTATACAGGCAAAACCAGATTTAATCTTAAATAATAAATATAACAAACGATATATCTCGAATAAAAATTTTAAACTGACTTTAGACAAGACAGTAGAAATGAAATATCACTATATCTTGCCGGAAATTTTTGACATTGGGGTGCCAGATGTGCCACGTGCTATACAAATACTCATTTTAGCGCATTAAATGACTTAACTGCGTTAAAATAAAGTTATTTAGGCGTCATGTACTACTATTATGTGCATAGGATGACGTCATTTCGTCGTTATGAATAAAGTTGTAAATTCCTAGGGTATTGAAAAATAAGTTCAAGATGAAATTGCATCCATGTAAAAATATCCTATTCTAAATGTGATGTAGTATGGCAAAATATGCAAGAAAAAGTATCTAATATGTGTTTGCGCTTCAGATTTTAAAATGCGTCTATTGCTAACCATCCGATGAGTGGCAACCCGGCAAGCCTCGTAAACTCTCAGTGGGCGGGTTATCTTCGAGACGGACATTCCAATCCCAACCGTAACACATGACAAATATAATTATTATTGTATACAATGATGCTTATAAATTTCATTATTCGTATTCTTTAACAAATTACAACAGATTCATTTTTAGACACTTTTAAAAAAACATCTCAATATTGCCTGAATGACTTGATGAAAGAAATGTTCCATTCAAACATTGTTTTTTTTCTATTTTAAGCAGATTAAGTGTCTGAAAACAGACGCAATTAATTAAGAAATAATATATCCCAAACTGTGATTTTATCGCTCAATAACATCTCTGTTTGGAGTTCGGATGCGAGGAATTATATCACGAGGGCGTAGCCCGAGTGATATAATGTTGCGCATCCGAACGACAAACAGTGATGTTATCCAGCGATAAAATCACCGATTTGGATATATTACTTCGATTCTAACACGACATAAAAAAATAAATGCTGCCGTACCTGCTATTAAGCAAAATTGCGCCTGATTTGTTTCCGTACTTATTGTCAGCGCGTCGGATTTTATAGTGGTTACGTCACATGTATAATGATTACGTCACATGTCTAAATATAGAATAATACACATTTCAGATTTAAAAACCTCTTTTAAAATAGTTTAATTATTTCAACCTATAGGTGTCAATGTATCACCTCTTGTTTCTCTTGATTCTAGCATTGTTCCCTCCTTAGAAATAGCGATTTCAAACGTTTCTTCTGGACAATCAATAATATCTTCTGGTTCTTTCTCTTTACCGTCAGATATTTCAGTATCTTCTGTATTAGAACGATATCCATTCCCTTTATCAAGCGGCTCTGGTTCTTCTACATAAGTTTCATTTTCACCTTCTTCTTCTTTGTTTTCGGTCATTTTGTCAATACTTGTTGTTTCGCTGGATAAATTAACATCAGATTCGGGGATTCCCGGTGTTACGCGCTCAGGCCCGATATCATCAGTCGATGCTGCACTTTCAATGGTCAGCGTATCTTCCGCTTTACCTGTTGAGTGACCCTCTGTTTCTTCTGATGTCGGCATGACATTTGAGTCCAATAAGGAGCCGTCATCCCTGAAGAATGTTGACTCTTTTTCTTCTGTATTATCCATAAAATTATCTTCCTTCACAATAAGGGGTGTTTCTTGGGAAATTTCATCGATTTCTTCTTTACCAGTACTTCCGCTCGACTCCTTTAACTCTTCCCTTGAACAAGAAATGCTTACAGTTTCATCGGCGGGCTGTTTTAAGCTTACGGCGCTAGTTGTGGTTTCTGTTTTTGGAGATGTTTTACATCCAGTGTCATCATGTACTGATTGAGTACAATCGTCATAAAGATTGGGTGGAACTTGAGTTAGATAGTCAGTATTTGATTCTGTTGATGGAAATGGTGGTGCAGATGATGCTAATGATGTGCTGAAATATTGTAAAGGATTTGATGAATAATTCTACAGTCTTTGCTGTCAAATCAATTGCATCTTAAATTACCATGAGGTGAATATGTACTTTAACATTCAAGACATTTAATTCTAAATGTATAATTAATCTGTAAGTAAGGAAACTCCCAAAAGTCGGAATAGATAAGTGACATTAATGTGATACATGACGAACCAATCCTCATTTCTACGGCAGATTACAAAAGTAAGTAACAGCTAATGACAATGATTTCTTTTATGTATTTATTTACTTATTTGAAATTATTTTTCCTTATGCAACAGTAACTTTATTTTTATGAATCCACGCTGTTATCGTATCGCATATAACAAAAATAAAATAAAACTGAATTTTAATACATGAAATTAAATTGTACTGTCTGGAAGGTAACTGATGTATTAAAAAGGGTTAATACTACAAAGAAACAGTGGTGGTAAGCATGCATGGCAGAAACTGGGCTTAAACTTTAAACTCGGTTTGATATAGAATTTTAAAGAGGTGATCATTTTGATTTTTGCTTTTTCAATGAAGTCATGACTGTAATAAAGTTTAACTTTGATTGTAGGCTAATGACAAAACATAAGAAGTTAAATAAACAGATGTAAACCCTTGTATTTTGGGCACGCTAGGAGAAAATGATACTTGTGATACTTGTTCTCTATTACTTTCATATTACATTTGGAACGTTTTCTTACGTTTTTGTGGATATATTAGTGTCTTCTTTTTCAGTCATTGAATCAGGACTTGATTGTCAAAATCATGTTGTTGCTATTTCAAATTAAATGCTTTAATTCATTTTGGATTAAATAATGTATCGTTGTAATGATAATTGATTGCTGTACTAGATATAATATATGATAAACAAGATCAACAAGGAAAGGCGGCGTTCAATGAACGCAACCCCCACACGGTCAGTAATTAGACAGTAAGACAATAATTGTTGGACGTTTTGATTCAAGCAAGTCATATTTGTTTAAATATATATCTGTAAGTCTTTGTTTAACTGTTTGAAGACATACGATTTTTGCATTTTATGCTAACCAAGGCATTCCTATTTCAACTTATATGAGTTAAAACATGTCGATCCAAATTGATATATTTATAAGTTATTGTTTCCTTTAATATCTTTTCTGTTAAATTTAAGGTTTGTTACCGGGTGTTCTTTTTCGTTACTTCGCTTCTAGTATAAGTGTCGTAATGAACAGGTACGTTAATACAGAAAGTTTGATATATGTTTTAAATAACAAAATAAAAGAAAGTAGGTAAATACTATAATTTCCATCACAATGACCTTGACCCCAGTGTCTGCAAACTTCCACAAGATATACAACATACCTAAGATATCAGTCAATGATTTAAGAACTTTTTTATAACAAGAGCGATCAGTAATCACATGTGTCGCCTCATGATGGCCAATTTCATGTTGGGACAAATTTTGTGACAGACGGACAGACAGACGGACAGTGCACAACTAGACTTGGTACTGATCATTCCTGTAAAGTTTGGATAAAATTGCACCAGAAGTTTATGAGGAGTAGTCCGGACAAGCTTTTGCGTATCTGGCAACACACAGAAAAAAACACCTTTTTATCAAAGGGCCATAACTCAGCCGAAAATCATTCAACCGGAAAACCCGTGCAATATGCGCAAGGACTTGAGCTACAGATCAATCCTGTAAAGTTTCATTGAAATTGCATTAGTGGTATAAGAGAAGTAGTCCGGACAAACTTTAAAAATAAAAATTATTAAAGGGCCATAACTCAAAAAAAATCATTGAACCGGAAAATGCTGACAATATGCACAACTAGACTTGGTACTGATCATTCCTGTAAAGTTTGGATGAAATTGCACCTGTATTTTTTGAGGAGTAGTCCGGACAAGCTTTTGAGTATCTGGCAACACACAGAAAAAGAAACCTTTTTATCAAAGGGCCATAACTCGGCCAAACATCATTCAACATGAAAACCCTTGCAATATGCGCAAGGACTTGAGCTACAGATCAATCCTGTAAAAATTCATTGAAATTGCATTATTGGTATAAGAGAAGTAGTCCGGACAAACTTTAGAATTAAAAATTATTAAAGGGCCATAACTCTGACAAAAATCATTGAACCGGAAAATGCTGACAATATGCACAACTACACTTGGTACTGATCATTCCTGTAAAGTTTGGATGAAATTGCACCAGTAGTTTACGAGGAGTAGTCCAGACAAGTTTTGTGATGGAATGACGGACAGACGGACAGACTGACAGACGACGGAGAAGTGATCCCTATATGTCGCCACTACTCCGTAGAGGCGACACAAAAAAGATGTCCTGGAGGACAGTGTTTGACAAAAAAAAATAAAGAAAGATTTAACCAAGATAAATATATTTATAATTATTATATTTCATTATAAGTATCAAGAATAAAATTGAATGTACAAATATTACACAAAATATAACAAACATATCAAAAGAAAGTAAGAAACAAACAGAAAATGTAATGAAAATTAAACATTCAGTAAAACCTAATATTCTTAATACGAATGATGAAACAATGATTAATCTCAAAGCATTGGTGTTGGAAAAATAACTTTTATTGTTTGCTATGTGCTGCTGGAGTATCTGGGTAAAACAAATAAAATTGTAAAAAAAACGTGTTCCGCATGCAGTGAAAATTCTTGAAATATAAATGCCAGAGTAATAATTTTAGTGATGAAGTACATATGATGATGATGATAATGATGATGATGGTGATGATGATGATTATGACTAATTAAATTATAAACGTAGAGTTAAAAGTTCACACGTGTCATAAGAAATCATTAGTGCCTTTAAGGGTTGAGGCATCAGACTTGCAACCACCATTTTACCCTGCATGATAGTAAGAGGCAAATACCCAGGATCGAATTATTGGAGTCAATGCATCTGTATCTCCAGCAGGTGAAGAGGCTTTGAACCCTGGCCCCGTGTTCACTAAGAAAAGATCAGGATCAGAATCAAATGATCCTAATTAATACACTTGTTACTATATATAGTAACAAAATTGCCTATGATTTCAACTGATTATGAGTGTCACGTGACCTATTATGAGTTTGCGGCCCGGGGCCGAGAACTAGTTATCAGCCCGCAGAACATGTGCACGTGCACAAACTGAAACAATGACGTCATATTTTACGTCATCAAACAGTTAACTGTAAAAGTGAAAGTAGGTTGTCAGCACGAATCGCTTTATTTTTTATTATGAGAGCTTTAAAAGCGTATTTAGTACGAACACATTTTTGTTACTATTGAAATTTGAAGAAATAATACGACAAATTCATTCCGAAAAAAGTGAAAATAAAACTTGCTTCTTGATTCTACTGCTTTGAACACACAAACAGTAAACATCTCTGTACAGAACAGTAGAAGAGTAGAAAAAAATTCAAGGAATGAACTTCAAAGTCTATTTGTTTTGATCTTTTTTTTAATGCTACTATTAGATCTACCAAGTGTATTAAGGACATTAATACACGGCAGGAGAGGGCCGGAAGATGATAATCGGCCCTGAATAAATAATGACCCTCGGGCTAAAGCCCTCGGGTCCATTATTCATTGTGCGGGCCGATTATCACCTTCCGGCCCTCTCCTGCCGTGTATTAACCTCTTATTACTTTATTTCCATTGTATTGTAAAACTAAAATTGATTTATTTTACTAAAATTGAATGGTACATCACCATAATGTACATTATTACTGATCGCAAAGAAACAATCCTATTTTAGGGTCAAATCCACGAATATTGAAACAAATACAATCATAATAGAATCAAAATAAGGAACATTTTTAGGATCAAGATCAATATTTGGATCTACTGTAAAATGCTGATATCTTTTAAGATAACAATTAATGAATTCTAAAATTAAATAGACATGTTATTTCAAGTTCTATTTAATCAAGTTACTATTAAATATTTCATACACGAGGATAAACAATGGAGAATATTCGAATTTTTAAATTTGATCCTGATCTAGATCCTGAGCCTTAAATCTTTATGAACCCGGAGCCTGGTGTTGCTTTAAGTTTAAGTTAGCCGGAATCATCTTTCCTGTCTCAGCGCAATATGACCTTAATTGTGTCGGTGCTCCGTAAACCAAACAAAAAAACAAAAATTTTTGTTTTCCCCGTTGCACCTTCATGTTTCGTAATCAAAAGGAGGCCAAACCCCAAATTTTTTTTGTAAAAATTTTTAAATAAAGAAATGAAATTTTTGAAAATAATTTTAAGAAAATATATATAAAAACAACACCGAATAAAAAAAATATACTATGGGTTTGGTTTAAAAAAAGTTGTATACATTTCAAAATTTGTGAATTTGTCAAAATCAAAATTAAAAAAATATTTTTAAAAGTTTTTAGCAAGTTTAAAATTATGAAAGCTAAAAAACATTTAAAATTGTCAAACTTAAAGGGGATGAAAACGAACCACATCTAAAAAATAGGGGGTTTTTTTGAAATTTTGGTAACGAAAATTTTTCACACATCCCATATTTTAAAAGAGTTTGTGGAAAATTTAGGTAACGAAGTTAACACACATCTATATATAGAGAGTTTGTGGAAATTTAGGTAACGAAGTTAACACACATCTATATATAGAGAGTTTGTGGAAATTTAGGTGATGAAACCCAACACACATCTAAATATAGAGAGTTTGGGAAACTGTAGGGGATGAAAGCACACTTCTATATAGAGTTTATGGAACTTTGGGGATAAAAGCAAACGTTCTTCGATATAATTTTAGTTGGTAAAAGCCAACAGATTTAGAACTAATGTATATAAAGATAGAGCTTGTGTTGTATTTGCTGAAAGCTATTACATATCTGCAAATCACTTCTTTCGGTCACATGAACTTCACACAAACTGTTCTACTTAATTTCGATTTGTGAAAATATCGTTTCTGTTGTACAGGGGATTGATATACAAAACGAAATTGTCACAAAACATGTGACATATTAGTACATTTCTTTTGTCATATATTTATAAGGAATTTGTACGTTTTTTCACATGTGTGAAGAATTCGTATTAATAACATGTAAATTTTGATTCTAAGCGACTTTACAGTAATTGCAAGGAAACTTTTTATCGACATATGTAAAAGGCACATAACATACATGTAATATCAAAGCAATGGAATGTGTGCAAAGTTATACAAAAAGAAATGTGTAATTGTTTAAAAACAAATAAGAAATCGAAGCCTAAAATTATAACAAAAAAGCAGTGTCTATCAGAACTACACTTTTACCTCGTAAATCTACAACATTTCTATTTCAGATATGTAGTTCTATTTCAGATTTCTATGTCTTAACAAAATATGTTTACTACATCTAATAAAAATGAAGTTGACAGCAAATCATACCGGCAAATGGTATATAACAGAAAAGCACAAAAAAATGACGTTTTTTCAAATTTGCCCCTGGTTTAACCCTTAACGTCTGGGGAATTTGTATTTCCCAAGCGTGTTTTTAAAAAAGGTTTTAAAATTTTCAGGGGTTTTCAAAAAAAAAAAGAAAAAAAGGGGGTCCCACAATAAAAAATTTAGAAGGACGGACATGGGGGGGCGGACGGGTTTTATTCTCGGGAAAGGGGGTATATTTTTTTTAGTTTCAGAATTGGGGTTAATGAAAGAAATTTTCCCCTGAAATATATTTACAGGAAAAAACAGTAGAAAATGTCAAACAAAGATAAGATTCCTTACAATAAAAAATATAAAAAGCAAAAAAAAAAAATAATAATAATAACAAAAAATCAGATGCACTGTTGTAAAAAAACTAAATAAACTAAAGTGAGAACAAAATAGAAAAAATCTACTAGGATAAGCAACATTTTACAATCTCAAAAAACAAGCTTTAGATAAAGACAGTAGAGAGAACATGTCGGATATGGTGAAGGTTCCAGCCTACCAGTCATCTTCGGTGTCTTTGTGAGCCACTCTGTTATGTCTGAAATAATAATATCACATTATGTTTTACTTAATTTAATATTTAATAAATATAGTATTCCAGTTTTTTTATTCATGGACTATTGTAATTCTGATGGTACATAAAACTAAGGCAGTGTCAGGTGCCACTTTTTTTTTAATTCTTTAGAAAAATTAAACATGTGTTTGATAATGTTTTAATAATGGATTAAGTGAATGTTAGATATTCGACAACTGAAAGAAAGTAGCGCTGAACATACAGTAGTGATGTGTAGTAAAGGTAACAAACTATTCTGATTTTCATACAAAATTCTAATTTACTTAATAATATACCATTTGCAAACAGAACAAAATGAGCAAAAGATAATTTTTGTAAATATGGTAATTGAGTTGGTTGTTTGGGAGCCTATGACAAAATACCAAAGGTAGAATTTTTTGATAAATCAAAATTATTGCATTTCTATAGCATAATGTTCCTTTAAAGGCCAAAAAGGGGGCTTTTTTAAAAAAATATTTCTAAAATTATTTAATAAATTTTTTATGAATTTTAAAATTTTTATGGACTGAAAATTTACATTATGTAACATTTTAAAAGACTCAAATTGTTAAAAAGGAAAAAATTTTCAGTTCAAAATTGCATAATCATGGGGAAAAAAGTTATAACAGGGTTGGAACAGACCAAGTTTTTGATTAAGGGGAAGAATTTCTTCATCCAGAATTTGCTTTTTTTATGGGATTTCTTTGTGTTTCACTGAAATTAAAAGGATAAAAAATGAATTTATTTAACATTTAAACAATAATAAACAATATAAATGGGTTATTGAATAAATTAATGATATTATAAAAGATTTTTTACAAAACGTCAATTGTGATATTTTTGACAGGACGAAAAGCAGTTTGTTTCGATGTATGTACAATTTCATGTAGGTCTAGACCAAAAACTTGTGTGCAAAATTTCAGATCAATCAAATATTTTTTTCCGGAGGAGCTTTTTTAATGATAAAAATGAACCAAATTGTAAACTCAGCTCAGCGTAAGAATAGCATAAAATACATATTTTTCGAATTGTTTTATTATCTTTTTCATCTCTTTCCGTTTTAAGTGTTCCAGTTTATCTGACTAGTGTGTAAGATTTAAAACAAAGTAAATTTCGGGTCCCTTTAAAAAAAACTAATTTTTGCTAAACTTTTTTTTCATTATATTTTCTACGAAAAATTTTAAATTTTTTAAATAAGGATGTTCAGGGTTACTGCGTTTATTTTTTTAAAAGAGAAAAATATAAGGTTTAGCTTCATAAAGGGGAATAATCTAGTAAAAGTATAAGGAAGTGACCTCGCAGTTATGGCCCTGCAAGTAATGTGCGAAGTCGTCATTATTGTTTCATGAAAAATTAGCTTATACATGTACATAAAACCATGACAAAGAGTTACGCTGACGCAGTCGTCTTGCAGGACGGTTTAACCCTACTTCTCAAAGAATAATCGAGGGCAATAAACTGAGCAATATGATGTTTTCTTGAGAAATTTGATATTGGATATTTTGTCTAATGGTCATTAGCCTTTCGCCGCTGATTCAGAAATCATGTGGGATTAGTAGTCGGTCATTTGCGGAGAATTGGGTTATAAATGATCAGATATCCGGTGAGGTGGAATGACCGTTAATATATGACTAAAATCGGCGTTTTATCCAAACAAACAAACGAAAAAAGTCTTAAAATAAAATAGACTTACGCTAAATGAGCGTTCTTTTCAGCATCAGCGGAGTATGGTGGTGGTGGCGATGAATCTGACAGTAACAAGCTACCGTCATCTGAAGTGTCCATTCTTCTAAAGTACTTTGCCAGCTTCACGGAAAATATCACAGACACCATAAAGAAAAATATAACCCATCCGAGTGAAAACCAAAATCCATTCTGTAAGAACATAACAATGCTTAATAATGCATGCGTTTAAGATAATGTAACGAAATTGTTTTTGTGATAGTGACGCCTCAACGGTCAGTTAGAAAACGAGACAACAGTTGGAACTGGCGACAACAGACATTCATGTAGCGAAGGGCAATACAGAAATGAAAATATCGTGTACTTATCTACGTTTTATGTTTTTTATAAACAAAAATGAGGCACATTTGTACCCTTATAATGCTTAGTCTGCATGAAATGTATCTATGTGGCGTCTGCAAGATGTGGCGTTGTCCTATCCATAACAGTGCTACAAGAATGTGAACTTGCAATGAATTACAAATATATTCATCTTTTGACCAATCAGTAACAAAACAATTATGATTTCTGGTCGTTAAAATGAATTAATGTGATCTACACTTCATAAACGTAACATTATTTGAGCATTCTCCAAGGCACGAGCGGGCGCTTGCGTAGAACCACTGACGTTCTGTAAGCCAGCCTCACATGAGGGACCTGTGGTTTTAAGTCAACGACCTTATTATTCCAGGCACGAACAGGCACCGGAGTAAAACCACTGACATTCCTTAAGCTACCTGGATACCTTCCTCACATGTGGGGACTGTTGTTTGGATTCAACGACCCTATTTTTCCAGGAACGAGCGGGCACCGCAGTAAAACACTTACGTTCCGTAAACTAGCTGGATAGCTTTCTCGCATGAATGGCAAAGTGGTTTAAAACCACTTCATGGACACCTGTATATGACTCATACCAATCTTGATACCAGTGTTCTATTCATTTAAATAATAATTGAGCCGTGTCACGACAAAACCAACATAATGGGTTTGCGACCAGCATGGATCCAGACCAGCCTGCGCTTCGCGCAGTCTGATCAGGATCCATGCTGTTCGCTTTCAGTTTCTCTACTTGTATAGGGTTTGTAAGCGAACAGCATGGATCCTGATCAGACTGCGCGGATGCGCAGGCTGGTCTGGATCGATGCTGGTCGCAAAACCACTATGCTGGTTTTGTCGTGACACGGCTCATATAGAAGAACAATAACGTACGAAGCAATCCATGAAGTTATAACAGAACGTATACACCAACAGGGAGTTGTAGATATTCCATACCGGCTCACAAGATCCCATTTTGTTTTTGACCTGCAATATATCAATGATAGTGAATAAGTGCCATAGAATCCGAAAATATAGTAAGTGTTATCGATCGTTAGTAAGAAATATTAAATCGAGATACTATGTTCGAAAAAAGGTTGTTATTTAAAATCTCACTTCTGTAATATCCAAGTTAGAGAAAGAAATTGCTTTAAAATCCTCTACGTTATAACATGAACTATTTTTAAACATATATTATTTCGTTCTTCAACTTATTCTTTCACTACAGAATAATTTAAGCGGGATGTAAATGTCCTAATTGATACGTGGATGAATGGTGAAAGAAATAAGTGGTCGTCCGTGTAATTCAAGTATTTTTCAATAAGCATAAACATGACAATATTTCTACGTATAAAGTGTTCTTCGAAATCAATGTCAGAAATGATGTATAAAGTAAGTAACGTATCATTGGTTTGTAAATAAACGGGGGAATGGGAAGATAAATGACATAAAACTAGAAATATGTCAACAAGACACAGCATCCCCTATATTTGAGGTTTTGTCAGTCTACCGACGGTCAGCGTGCGACAGGACAGCATGACCGCGGCTCGGACGGACAAGGAGAAATGTATATGCCTATTTCCCCACCTTCAAGTTGGAGCATAAATATACGCATGACTAGTTCTCGTAAAGACCTTTTCACACTAGGATATTCCTTAGAAACGGAAGTAGAATTTCGCGCATGCGCATACTGCGTAGGGCAAAAAAAGCAATAACGAACAAATATATTTTATCAGTATTTAGCAACGTCTTCTATATTATCGTTTGCTTTTATGTGAAGATATTAAACTTACCGCATCGTCTGTATAAGCCACGTATGAATCAATGATTGACAGAAGACGGTTTACGAATGTGTTCAATATCTGAAAATAGTAGCATAAACACTTCATGGACATGTTAATATTACAAAGCTAACTATGAAAGTACTGCATAAATATTATTCATCATTAAATCAACTAAGGTCCATGACAGGACTGAAAATATTTTAGAGGACATTATAAGTCTTCTATTCTAATTCAATTTTGTAAGAATGTTTCAAGTGTTTTTTGTATGTTGTAAATTGTAATATGTATCATAGATATCTTGTATGTAATCTGGGAAATAAAATATATATTTAAACTAACATTAAACTGTGCAATACGGGGAGAAATATGAATAAGAACACAGTTTAAGTAAACAAACTGAACGAACCGAAAAGCGAGTCTAAAACGATTTATTAAGTTGTGTGCAAGTCTAAGTATAACCTGCATTTAATGTTTAAAAAATTAATTTCCTGTTTTTTTATAGATCCATATTTTATATTTTATTGAGAAAATGCACGTTTAAAGTGGAACAATATAGATTTCTCAAAATATAGAGGTACCGTCAAATAACGTATTATAACTACGTCAAAATACGTACCGATCGTACAACTGTACTGGCATTATTCTTGATATACGTGTCCGCTGTTTGTAGACCAGAATCTAAATTATCAACCAAGGTCTGAAATCAAACGATTTAGAGAGATTGAATAAAAGAATTATAATGCAACTTTCAATGAAAGCTAAGAAAAAAATCATTCACAAATCAATTAATGATTTATTTCATCAAATACTAGGTATATCAAATGATAATATGCCTAGAAATACAGGTATTGTGACTAAACAAGAGCTATCGGACAGCCAGACAGACAGACAGGCAGACAGACAGAAAGACAAAAAGAGAGACAAACAGGGCGTTTGACTTTTACAGTGATTTCTAGTCAAACAATTAAGAGCAATGCTACCGGTATAAATTCCAGCTATATTCTATCTTACCAACTGGTATTTTTTAATATACCAACAGGTACAATTTATCATACATACCGGAATATTTGAAACAACGGCATCCATTTCAGCAACAGATGTGTTCAAAGCAGTCTGAAAAAAATGTAAAAATATTAAAGTATTAAAGGCCAGTTATGTCTTTATTGGCAGCTTTGTTGTTAAGATTAAGAAAATCCAAACAATAATCTACATGAAATTATCCATTTTATTTTCAAACCTGGGAAAACTGTCAGTGGTCTTTTTATTAAGTATACATGTTGAGGTTCATAAAAACTTCAAGCTTTTGATCAAAACTGATAAAAAATAAGTAAGATTAAACTAAACCTTATTCATTTGCTCCAAACTAATGTCATTGTATATGCATAACAATTGAACGTAATGTTTCATTATAATCTACGAAAGATCGTTGGTGACATTTCAACTTCGTAAATTTCCGATTCCGGAGTTGAAATTGTGAAGTTCAAATTATGAATTAATGAAGCTGAAATCGTGGATCAGTTGAAATCGTAAATTCGAGAAGTTGAAATCGTGAATTCGTTAAGTTATAATCGTTAATTCACGAAGCTGAAATCATGAAGTTCAAAATGTGAATTCGCGAAGTTGAAATCGTGAAGTTGAAATTGTGAATTCGTGAAGTTGAAATTGTGAATTCGTGATGTTGAAATCGTGAATTCGCGGAGCTGAAATCGTGCAGTTCAAAATGTGAATTCCCGAAGGTGAAATCGTGAAGCTGAAAATGTGAATTTATGAAGCTGAAATCGGCAAGTCGTGAATTCGGTATGTAAAAAACGTGAATTTACGGACTTAAAATTGTGGATACAAGAAACTGAAATCGGAAATTCATGAAATTGAAATGTCCGCGCCGGTCTTTCGTGAATATCAGTCGTGAATCCATGCCATACGTTAAATTTGTGAAGTGTATAAATAACATTTTCACTTATATTCTATTTTAAAGAATGTTATAAAAGCAAAAAGCAATAATAGCAAAAAATCATATATGAAAAATAATTGAGCAATCATCTTATTCCTGAATATTATCATTTAAGTCCAATAATATCGCAATTTTTAATTACTACATAACTTGAAATTTGCAATCACATTAAAATGAAGCCATGGCTTCGCTCTGTTACTCTAAGTTATGGAGCGTTAAGTAGTGGAGCGTCAGTTAGGATATAGCTTTTATGAGAATGATGAAATCTCTGAGAGTAAATATTTTTTATCGCACTTTGCGTTGTATCAGAGGATTTTTCCGAATTTTCTGCGCCGACGTACTGCTTTAAATCGATGTTGTTCTTAAAAAAATATGTGATCTTATTTAAATTTACTTATAAGCTGTTGTTGTTGTTGGTGGTGGTGGTGTTGCTGCTGTTGTTGTTGTTGCTGTTGTTGTTGTTGTGCTGTTGTTGTTGCTGCTGCTGCTGCTGCTGCTGCTGCTGCTGCTGCTGCTGCTGCTGCTGCTGCTGCTGCTGCTGTGATTGTTGTTTGTGTTTTTGATGCAGCAGCTGGTGTTGTTGGTGATGATGATGTTGTTGGTGGTGGTGGTTCTGGTGGCGGTGGTGTTGGGAGGACCAAAGTTACAATTAAGATGTGCTGCTTGATGTGGTACTTCTTGTAATTGTGTTATTATTATAATCAGTTATATTAGTAAAAGTAGTAGTGGTAGAAGAAGTTGGTAAATGTAGGGATAGAATTAGTAGTGATGGTTATGGTTGTGGTGGTGGTTAAAGTGGTAAAGAATGAGTAGTGGTGCTTGTTGTGGCAGTGGTAGTAGAGGTGGTAGTAGTGGTGGCAGTGGTGTAAGTGGTAGATGTAGTGGTATTGGTGATAGTAAACTTAAAGTAAGTGGTAGTGGTCATGGTGTAGCGGAATTGGTAATGGTAGTGGTAGATGTTGTGGTATTAGGGGTTGTAATTTACTAATACAACCTTTTCATTGTCTCGTAAATCTTAATACAGATATGAGCCGCGTCATGACAAAACCATCATAATGGGTTTGCGACCGGCGCAGTCTGATCAGGATCCATGCTGTTCGCTTACAAACCCTATAACAAGTAGACAAACTGATAGCGAACAGCATGGATCCTGATCAGACTGTGCGGATGCGCCGGCTAGTCTGGATCCATGCTATTCGCAAACCCATTATGTTGGTTTTGTCATGACACGGCTCAGATATGTTATTGATAAACTTCATATTTAAATATATTATTACCTTATTACTCTCAACGTACACATATTCTTCGTCCTCTATCAATCTAAGCTTATTTGCTTCTGCTTGAATAGCTGCCTGTTATAAAATCAATATTAATTAAATCACCATAAAAGTGAAAATCAAATATATCCAATGGACCATAGAAAATAGGCGCCAGTGCTTTAAATTAATTATTGTATCTATAAATAGGGTGAGTGGCATTTATAGAAAGTAAAATAAAAATGATATCGCATAAATATCGGTACAGTGTTAATTGCTAAATATTTTTGTCAGCTTTAAGCAGTAAAATAATAAAATATTTTCTCATGTATCAGGTAAGTTTATATCAAATCAATATAGCTTTACTGTGCTTGAACTTTCGTCAATAAACATTTATTCCTAGTAATATAAGGGATCATACTTTCAGCCTATATATCAATGTTCAGACTGAAAAAATCATGGGTTTCGATAGATGCACATGTATGTAAATAAAAAAATATGTAAACACAAATTTTTAAACATTAAAATAATTTTAACACTATTGTTTTTTTTTCCTTGCCAAGGGAGATAAACAATATTTTTTTAGTCTTAAGTGTTATTTGAGTAGCTCCCCTTTGCGTGATAAGCTTACCTTTGCTATTGCGTTACCTAAACCACTGGCATAATCATCTAGGTCCTGCGCTAAACTACTCAAGTTCACGGAGGTTATATTTGAGCCAAGCTGTAACAGAAAATTAACAGTATATTCATAATATAGTTAAAGGTGATCAACTTTATATTCAAATACATACATTCTCAATAACTTTTACTAAGGTAAACATAAAACACAACGCTTTAATCATATTACCAGGACAAATGTATCAATCAGCATCCTTTAAATGAGCCGCGTCACGATAAAACAAACATAATGGGTTTGCGACCAGCATGGATCCAGACCAGCCTGCGCATCCGCGCAGTCTGATCAGGATCCATGCTGTTCGCTATCAGTTTCTGTACTTGTTAAAGAGTTTGTAAGCGCACAGCATGTATCCTGATCAGACTGCGCGGATACGCAGGCTGGTCTGGATCATGCTGGTCACAAACCCATTATGTTGGTTTTGTCATGACGCGGCTAAAATGATCTTTTTCTAGTAAGTAAACACACTTATATTTGGCTATTTAGATAAAAACAACAATTATGTTGACATGGCTATTCGCGACCGGCTGTGTTTCCTCGTTAGAAAAAGTATGAGAACAGAATAATATATTTTTTAAAAGTTTTTTTTTCGGTAATGAAGACTGTGGGTTGAAGTGATGTCTCACCATTTACAAACTATGTTTGATTACTTAAAAAGCTCAACATCACTACACTTATTCTGATTGTCATCTATTCATTGTCCATATCTCGGACAGTTTTCTAGAAATACTGACCTCAGTATAGAATTCAGAGAAGCTTATATTGACCGCGTCTTTAAGATCTGTCAATTGTGTTTTAAGACTTGTAGAGTAAACTTCTACGGATGAAAGATCTACGTTTACTTGGTCAACTTCCGCCTGCACATCTAGTGTCTGAAATAATCATAGTGTTAGATTTAGAGAAAAGCTAGGTTCACTAACCAACGACAATGGCCCCTAATTAAAAAAACTAAAACTATAAAAAAAACTAAATTTTGTGTTTTGATTTTAATAAACAACACTATAACATTATAACAATCGTTTACTTACTTAACAATCTTTGTAATATAATATTATTGATACATTTTCTTCGAAACCTATTCTTGCAAAAAAACTGGTAAAATTTCATAACCGTCTAGGGGTATTTTGTATGTTATAATATTTTACCAAAATCTTTCAATCTTTTGACCATTTTTCGTTTGTGTTATAAGAGAAATATTCCGAAAATGTTTATTCATATTCTGAAATTATTATATTACAAAAAATTTGGTTACGAAAATTTATTCAGCGAAAGAGACAAAAGATTATTTATGCATTTGAGTTTTTCACCTTAAAAGAATTCAAAATTTTTGAGAAAGCAAAGAATTATATTCATGTAGTAAGTAATTAAAAAATAATTATTGCTGTATATATGAATCAGCTGATATTAAGACAGAAAGCAAATGACAGAAAATTAAATGTCCTTGAAGGCCACGTTCTTATCATTTTGACACATTACAACATTTAAGTTTAATGTTTACCTTTGAATAATTCAACATATCTGTCAAGTCGAGTTTGTTGTCCAGTTTAAACGCAGAGAAGGCACCTTCGCCTGCCTTACAAGCCCTGTGATATAATGAAGGTAACAAATACATTTGAGCCGCGTCACGACAAAACCAACATAGTGCGTTTGCGACCAGCATGGATCCAGACCAGCCTGCGCATCCGCGCAGTCTGATCAGGATTCATGCTGTTCGCTTTCAGTTTCTACACTTGTAATAGAGTTGGTAAGAGAACAGCATGGATCCTGGTCAGACTGCGCAGATGTGCAGGCTGGTCTGGATCCATGCTGGTCGCAACGCACTATGTTGGTTTTGTCGTGACGTGGCTCATTTTAACACTCTTACACAAATTAAACATGCTTAGTATATTTAGAACAGATTTCACGAAAAATGCAGCTAAACTGAATGTCAAATTTTACACAAAATTGCCAATTTTCTTCCCATTTTTAAACTTTTTTCGGCGTAAAACGATAATTTTTATAATAGCATAAAAAAAAATAATAATTTCCGTCGAATACTGTAGAATCTAAAATAGTTTGCGTTGTGATACACATAACAGTTGCCAAGGATACGCGACTACTTTATGTTCCAAAACTGGCTTTGGTGGTCAACAACTTTGACGTCATATGTACAAAAAATGGCTGAAACTATTGGAATAAAATCAACGGAATCTACTCTGAAATATGTTCAACTAATAACTTGCCAATTTTCAAGATGCTACTCGAAGTTCGCAACGTATCTCGTTCTACCTTAAGCTTTGTCCACGTGCTCAATATGTGCGATCATGAAGTTTGACTGTTCCAAGGCTCTAAGTTGAATGGTTCTTCAGTTACTGTGGCAACGGTTTTTACATTTAAACTTACATACTTACATTGTCCATGACACTTGATCATAGTAAATGATAGAAGTCTTTTACTTTTAACAGGAATTATAAAGGTTTTGTGTGGCGGGAAAATCAAATGCCGTGTACTTGTACTTACTTTAAAGCCCCAGTCAGTTGAAGTGGGATTGTATCATTGTTAAGGAGAGCATCCGCCAAAAAGTATTTCCCCTTGCCTACCTTCTCGTCACTGTATATTGTAAGGTACTGTAACAATATTTTATGCTTTGTTAAAGTTAATGATTATATGATTTCTACACGCCCATCTGATAACTGCAATAACCGGTAACAAAATATTTTAACTTTCTAACGTGTATTTTGTCTGGACAATCGTGCAGGTATTTTAACCAGCAATTAATTTATGAATTCGAAACGAATAGTCTGATATTCAAATATACGAAAGGCGGTCTAATATTCGAATATGAACAACTAAGTACTAATGATTCTGTGTCTCTAGAAATGAGTTTATCTTATTCTGTTTCATTAGAATAGAGACTACTGTTGAAAAGTATATTAATCGTCATTAATTCGTCACTATTGTAATACATAATTATAAAATTCGTATATTAAATTCTAATCGTATTTTAAAACACATGACTTTTAAACTGTGTATTGTGTAATACTCATGGTTAACCTTTTATAAACTTTTAACTTCAAACAAAACAATTTTGATATTTATTGGACTGTTTTATTTAAATGTGCATTTTTTTTTCTATTTCTGAAAATTATATTTTACCCGTTCGAGTTCATCTAGGTCTGTGACAGGTTCACAAAACACTTTATGAATGGGTGCTCCAGGCATGAAGGTGAAGGTAGTCAGTAGCATCAGTAACGCCGAAAATATGAAAATCAAAGCTGCCGAACTGGAAGATAAAACCAAAAGTAATAATACCGTGCCTAGATCAAGGAACGAGATTCTTAATAGCGCTAACAGGACACCGTGCAATATAGACAAAATGTTTGATCTATTTGATCCTAAATATCTTAAATGGAATTGTCCATCTTTCAATTTTTACATTCATCATTTAATCGAAATTTTCAAAATAAGTTCGAATTGAATATCAAACAGTGCAGACCATGATCAGATAGCACGGATGTACCAGTTGATCTTGGTCTGCACTGGTTGCTTGGTGATGATGCTTATTCAGTTGCCTTTATTATGCTTTGATTCAATCAAGACACGTTTTAGTAACAAGAGCTTTCTGTAGGGCAACGTTCTCGACTTTTCTCGGTGCTTGGAAGTAATGAGAAATAGCATTTAAAAAAGATTGATATATTGACCACCTCCTGTATGCAGGTTGGGGACATGATGGTAAACAGGTGTGCAAAATATCAAAGCCATATGTCAATGGACTTTGAAAATATTTGAGGATGTACGCTCTGGAGACTTGGATAGCTCTCCTTATTCTTCGAATAGTCGAGCTAAAGTGATAAACCTAAGCCATTCTGTATATGTTTAAGAAGATTAATAAATGATTTACAACGGGTTTCATATATTGTAACCAATGCTTGCTCTGTTATGGGAAATTCTAAATGTAACGCACACGTATATCAAATTTGCAACTGTTACAATTAAAAGCATGCGAAAAAGATTTTACAGAACACGTGTGTCTCTCAAGCTAAAACCTACAAGTTTTGAATCAATTTTGAAAAAAAAATGATATAAAAGATGATATAAAAGATGGATACATACACCATTAGCATGATTCCACCGCAGTTGGAAACACAATTTCGCCGGTGCGGCGGGGTGGAGATATCCGTGCCGAATATACCGAACACAAGTCCGAGCACGGCGAACACTACAACCAGTAAACATATCGATGCCAGACCAACCCCACCATACCATCTGAAATAATGTAAAAAGTCATTTTTCATAATATGCATGCAATTATCTTTTTAAGAAAGCAAGATTACGTAATAGAAAGAGCATCGAAACACGAGGCTATCTGATTTGTACGAGGGGGCGCAGCCCTCGAGTATTAATAAGATTGCCGAGTGTTTTGATGTTCTTTCTATTTTGTATCATAGTCAAACATAAAAACACGTTCCCTGTTGATAATTTTTATTTATTTCAATATTATATCAATATAATCTTGTGGTCGTCACTGGTGGTTCTTTTTAAATTTTCAGAATATCACAAGATTTTTGTTAATTATACTAATTTTCAGACTGAATGCTTGAAATGTGTTTGATAATATAACTATTATTGTTTTATCGTTGTTGTTGTTATTGATATTGTTGTTTACAATAGTTGTTCGAAATACAAATTGTGACAAATTATACATGCGATTTTTGAGCTAGCTCGAAATTCAATCACTGTTCGAAAACCAACTTTTGAAAATCTTAAAACTTCCACTGTCACATACAGTGGCTCAAAATACATGTACACTTAGTTCTTCAGAACTTTGAACTTTGGTGTTGAAAGTGATTTGAAATTCAACTGGTACATAAAAAGTGACAGTGACGATTTGAGCCGCGTCATGACAAAACCAACATAATGCGTATGCGATTAGCATGGATCCAGACCAGCCTGCGCATCCGCACAATCTGATCAGGATCCATGCTGTTCACTTAGAAACCCTATTAAAAATAGAGAAACTGATAGCGAATAGCATGGATCCTGATCAGACTGCTCGGATGCGCAGGCTGGTCTGGATCCATGCTGGTCGCAAACCCATTACGTTGGTTTTGTCGTGACGCGGCTCATTTGTATTTACTTCACCTGTATTTGTCATATTGTTCTAGCAGGTCTTTATAATCTTTTATATCTAGAATTAGCTTATCCAGATCGATTGTTGCATTTTCACCGCTTATCTGCAAAGGTATAAACACAATATCTTCAATAAGAGCAAACATATAGACATAAATAACCACGATGAAAGGACTAAGGGATGTAATTCAAGCTAATTTGTATAATTATCCTATTACGTATTCGTTTTTCTTCGAGAAAGTTGCGTCAGAAAAAAGAAAAATGGATTAACCCCCCCCCCCCCCCAAAAAAAAAGATATGAATTTTAATTAGGCTTTGAACTCCATTAAGCTACAAGAATGCAAGGTGTTAGTCTAACGAACACGAAAGAATTCAAATTTCTGAGTAACTAAGTGTAAATGTTTTTTGAGCCACTGTATGTGACAGCTTTAAAGATCGCTAACAAAATGTTAATTGTTTATTTTCATGAAAATACATATTTACCGGTTCTGAAACTCTCTTAAAAGAGGCAAAATTTACATTATTTCTCAAAACGCAAAGTGCGCGATTATAGGATTTAATCGTTATCACGCAACGTGAATTAACTTCATCATTATCATTTTCTCTTCATGATTCAGCGTACCTGTTTATTTATATCTGTAATTTCAGTTTCAACATCTTTTAAATCATCGCTCAGGTCTGATATTGTAGTTTTCAAATCTGGAAAGGTTTAAACACAACTTTTGTATGTACAAAATGATTACGAAAAGGACAATATAAGTTAAGAAGTTACTACACTAGATATACTAGTACAATATATGAAAATTGTAATAATATTGGCTTAGGAAAGGTTTAAATAAGTTTGGTAAGTGTAAAATATGAAATATTGGGTAGCATGAACTATTAAAACATTCATATGGTAGAATGAAATAATTATGAAATATTTGGTAGTATGAAATATTAAAAGATTCGCTTGATAGTATATTAAATTAATAGCACACGGCTGTTGGTATATCACCCGTAGGTCATCATGGGTTGCCAATACCAACAATCACCCAGACCGTTATACGCAATTCTTTCATTATACCGAAACAATACATACGGAATGATGTGCCCAAAGGTGAAAAAAATATCTCCCGGGGCATATCCTATATGAGGCTGATGTTCGATCAGAACACATTATAGTTATACAGGAACTTTATGTTAGAGTACGAGTATATATTGATGAATAATTATATGAAATATTATGTTCGTGAAGTTGGCAGCCTAGCAGCCCAGCAGCCTGAAGTTGGCAGCCTAGCAGCCTAGCAGCCTGGCAGCCTAGCAGCCTAGCAGCCTGGCAGCCTAGCAGCCTAAAGAAAACTAAGAATAGTACAAACATGAAATCGTCGGATATGAATCGGAAGCACATACTTAGACCATTGCACGTCTTATTTTAGTATCGCGATCTTTATTTTTTTAAATATTGAACTTTGTTTGTTTTTATTTTGACGCTTCGAAATTTGTGAAGTTAGCAGCCTAGCAGCCTGGCAGCCTAGCAGCCTAGCAGCCTAAAGAAAACTAAGGAAAATACAAACATGTAAACCGTCGGAAATGAGTCGGTAGCACATACTTAGACTATTCCACGTCTTTTTTCAGTATCGCGAACTTTATTTTTTTAAATATTGAACTTTGTTTGTTTTTTCTGTTTTTTTTTTTTTGACACTTCGAAATTTGTGAAGTTAGCAGCCTAGCAGCCTGGCAGCCTGGCACCCTAGCAGCCTAGCAGCCTGGCAGCCTAGCAGCCTAAAGAAAACTTAGGACAATACAAACATGTAAAAGTCGAAAATGAGTCGGTAGCACATTCTTAGACTATTCTACGTCTTTTTTCAGTATCGCGAACTTTTTTTTTTTTTGATATTGAACTTTGTTTTTTTTACTCTTCGAAATTTGTGAAGTTAGCAGCCTGGCAGCCTAGCAGCCTAACAGCCTAAAGAAAACAAAGGATAATACAAACATGAAAACCGTCGGAAATTAGTTGGTAGCACATACTTAGACTATTCCACGTCTTTTTTCAGTATCGCGGCTATTGATCAAATGGGTATTGTTCTTAAGTTCAGATAATCTTTATGTTCATTAATGTGTTCGTTTAAACATATGCATTGTATATCTCTTTACATTCCAACCGATTTATCTTTACAGACCTAAAATAAATATGCGTTGAACATCGTCAACTTCATTATAAACATATACATACAAAATAGCATATCATAAATAAGTCACATGACGTCGCTTATTGTCCATAGACAGCGACATTATTAGCCGCGAAAATGTTAAGACCAAGACTACTTCCTACGTTATTCGAAAATAGAGGATATTGAATGAGTGTAAGTTCAATACTGAATTTACTGCACGAGTTGAATAAAATTATATTATGCGAGCCTCTGGCGAGCATAATATTATTTTATTCATCGAGTGCAATAAATTCAGTAATGAACTTACACGAATTTAATATTCTATTTATCACATACCCAATATAAAGACCGTTTAAAGTGAAATAAGAGTCATTTTTCATTGACGCGCCTATAGTTTAACGCTAATATTTAGCGCGTCTTTACATTTTATCATGCAACTGCTATGGTAACTGCCCGATAACACTTGCCTGATAATTATTTTTGATATCAGGTCAGTAACCTGATATCAAAAATAGGCCCCGCCCATTTTAACGGACTTTTTTCAATTGCTTATACAGGTATTCTCATTTTCATCAGCATGTGAATTCTACAATGTAATCTCATACCCTTACAAGTCTTGAATCAATATGCGATTTTTATTCATTTATTATTTTGATTTCAATTTCAATTACGAATAAATTAGATAGCGAATAGTTAATCACCAACTTAATTAAGTGACGTCATAATTTACATTGCAAATGACATCATCGATGTCCACGTCACACTATACATGTAAACATAACAAACAGACTAGACGATTTTCTTTGAGAATTTGTAAATGTTTACTTTATTTCTCCGGATTATTCTTTAATAAGTGAATAAATTGTTTCGTTCAAAAAATAAGAGGCATGTGTGTGTAGCTTTTGTTTGATTTCATAGAACAAGAAATTATCGTGAACTTTTGAATTTGACAATTCAAGGCAGAAAGTGCAGTAGGTTTAAAGTTTATGTAATTCTTAAGGATTTTTTGGATCGATGTTTAAAGGTAAGAATCTTATCGTGTTACATTCTGTTGTATCTATTATCACAGGAAATAATCTAGAGGGCCACCATTTACAAATTCTTAATTTCAGGGGCGTAGGAATTTGTTTTCAAGAATTATTTCTTTGAACAAAAATGCCCCTTTCTACGAAATTGGCTATTTGAAAGTAGATTATTTTGATAGAAAATTTTGACAGTTTTTATGTGTTACATGATAAATAGAAAAACATGCTACTGTATTTTGATATCAATTTTATCAGGCTCGGCTGATATGGGCAGAAAGGGCTCGGCAAGCCTCGCCCTTTCGAGCCCATATCAGCCTCGCCTGATAAAATTGATATCACATTGATTCTCCACTAAACATTCAAATTAGCCTGTAACTAATAGTGAATAATTGACATTTGCGAATAGTTACCCAGACACCTTTTTTAGTTGGTTCAACTCATGTATAACATTGAACACATACTGGTTCTTTTAACATTTCACCAAAAAACTTGTAATATTTCCTGAAATTAAGTTACCAAGAATTCGAGATTTGTGCAAAAACAGATACGTTACCATTTTTCCAATTGCTTTCAGAGACTAGATAGAAATAATTAGCATGAATATACACGATTAAGAAATTTATTATCATACTTTCAGCATTATAGCACCAGTATATATTACAAAATATTATGCATTAATATGCATTTTAAAAAAAAATCAACGTCTATGAATAGCTTGTGAACTGAAGCTGATGAAAATGTTACTTATTAATCAGACTTGTTTATTCCAAATACATGAGTTACTTATAAAAGCATTTTAGGACAATAAAAATACTTATGTTCCATACTTATCTATTGACAAAATGTAGCTCGAATTTATTTAACAGTATAAATTTATTCCGCTAAGTGGAAACAAATATTAAATCATAGTAACGTATCTGTTTCACAGTTCTTCTATGAACAAACGTATGAAAAATCCTGAACACATAGACAGATATCCATAAAGTTTTTTAAACAACTGACCAATAAATAATATGTCTGAACCAGTACTTTTAATATTAAACAGAACACACAATATCATTTAAAGTTTTTTTTAGGTTTTATTGTTTTATGTGTAGCTTCAAATAGTCAAATACCATTGTGACTTTAAGAAACAGATTGAACTTAACAAGAACATTTGAATAAAGACACTCATCTATTAGAATATGTATTAGCTAGATTAATGTGTTTCATAGACTAGTGTGAATTGACATTCTGTTGTCTTTTTGGTTCATCTGCTGTTCAATTGTCTTTATTTTTTCTAAATACTTTTTCTTTATATACTGGTACTATCTCGATCCTTGATTTTGTCATACTTCGTGATATGAGTAAGCCGTAACATGTATTTGCTTATCTACATTAAACAAAATTATATCAGAAACAATGGTACCGCTTAAAGAAAACCAACTTAGTAAGAATTAATCCATATATATGTGCACCTCCAAGATTTTGAGCTATATCCAATTAGTCCATCCCTACCATAGACAGAAAATCTTGATACGACCCTGACTAAAATTTAGAAACTAACGGGCATTCATTTAAAAATACTTTAATATGTTTTTTTCATTAAGTTACAGTGCTGTCATATATTGCCTAACCATATACATGTATTACTTATTTAAACCAAAGTTTCGTTGAAGATTTAGTTATATATATTAAACAGTACTCAAATCTCTGTCTAAACAGATACGTTACTATGATAAACAGATACGTTACCAGAAGTTATACAGTCCTCTACATTTTATTTTAAATACCAATTTTGCAAATCAAAAAGATATCAACATATATTTATTCCAGGAAATAAAACAGTAAATCTCTAATGTTTCTTTCCTGTTTTTCAACATTTTATTTTCTAGAAAACTCAACTAATCCTTGAATTTCAAATATTTGATTCATATTTTCAGTTTTCCAATAAAATCGAGATCAAAGCATCATTTATCGGCTACACGTACGTTATTCTGTAAATTTTTACATAAAACCATTTCAAAATTGAGCAAAATCGTCAATTAAGATTCAAACAATAAATATTGGTAACGTATCTGTTGGTAACGTATCTGTTGGTCAAAAAACTAAAATATATCAGATATACACACATGTTTGCCAAATATATTGAAATATTAATTTTTGTAAAGCATATATTTGAATAATGCATAAATGCGATCCTACTTTTAAGTACTGGTAATGATAAATGTTTCTCAGTGGGATATCATGGTAACGTATCTGTTTCATTTTAAAGTATAATCCAAATTGCCTCATCATTGCAAAGTCATTGTGGTTCTAGCATGTATATTGTCGTCAAAATTATTTTTGAATAATGAAATATGATAAAACTTGAGTTCAATAGCAAACTATTAATATGTTACAAGTTCATATTACTCTTACTCAGGTTTACCTGAAGTGTAGTAACGTATCTGTTCAATATATGAGGGACATGCATTTCAGCTGGTAACTTTTTTTCAAATTCACTGTAGAAAACAATAAAAATCGCTCACTTAGACATTTAAACTAAAACTTAATACTAAAGCAGTTTTTCTTCAACACATGTTTCAGGTGAAAATATGTAAAACCAACAGTAATATGGGACCCAAGCCTGGGGACATTACATAATGGGTTATACAGCACCTTTGCATGATAATATTTTCGTATAAATCCAACAGACTAAGTCATTAATTTGAATGCTTTACATACATGACTATGTAATGAAGCAATAGAATGCCCAAAAAGTATTTTTCAACTGCAGTGCAACAAAATATACTCGAGGGACAAAATATTTTCTAATTTGCACGTTTAGTGGAGAATCAATGATCAAAAGACAGTAGCATGTTATTCTCTATATATTTGTATAACGCTTATAACGTCACGTCAAAATATATGCACGGCCGTGCAATACCATATTTACGGAGTCGCAAAATCGGCACGGGTGTGTGTAAACATGTTTAATCCCGCAAATTTCGAAGCGTCAGAATGAAAAATAAAATTTACTGGTTTCCTAGCAGTTTCCGTCCCCTAGCAGTTTTCCGGCCGTTTATCATCTTCGCCCAGTACAGTCTATTTTTACCAGTAAGGCATCCACATTACTTCGTCAATCAGAGAGACTTTAGTTTTCAATGCTAAACAGCATTTAAAATAGTACAATTTATGTTTTGAAGTTTTGTCTGTTATTTAAAGTTACAAAGAGAACTTGCGACTTTCAAAAATAAGTAACACCTGGGGAATTATGGTTTGAGTATCCATGCGCAATAACTAAGACCCCATTTTAGGTAAATCAATACTTCGGAAAATATTATTGCAGACTACACGGACAAGGTTGGGAAGTTCTGTTTGTCTTGTAAAACCATCTTAACATTGCTTTATGGTACAGAATTATATTCAAAATAAAAATGGTCCGGAAAACTGCTATGAATTTTTGAATAAAGGTGAAAAAAGGTGTTACGTTTCAGGCATATATTCCAATTAAAAAGTAAAATGAAAGTGCAACATTAAGCACATGGCAATGCTGGACAGGTACCTAACTTTGTCCTGTCAAAGTTTTGTACCCCTCCGTTGACTGATTTTTATTTTATTTGTTAAAAAGTGCGATTTGTGGCCGGAAACTGCTAGGAAACCAGTAATATTTAAAAAAATAAAGATCGCGATACTGAAATAAAACGTGGAATGATCAAAGTAGGTGCTACCGACTCATTTCGTTTGTATTATCCTTAGTTTTCTTTAGGCTGCTAGGCTGCTAGGCTGCCAGGATGCTAGGCTGCTAACTTCACAAATTTCGAAGAGTAAAAAAACAAAGTTCAATATTTAAAAAAATAAAGTTCGCGATACTGAAAAAAGACGTGGAATAGTCTAAGTATGTGCTACCGACTCATTTCCGACGGTTTACATGTTTGTATTGCCCTTAGTTGTTTTTTTTAGGCTGTTAGGCTGCCAGGCTCTAGGCTGTTAGGCTGCCAGGCTGCTAGGCTGCTAGGCTGCCAGGCTGCTAACTTCACAAATTTCGAAGTGTCAAAAAAAACAAAAAAAAACAAACAAAGTTCAATATTAAAAAAAATAAAGTTCGCGACACTGAAAAAAGACGTGGAATAGTCTAAGTATGTGCTACCGACTCATTTCCGACGGTTTACATGTTTGTATTGTCCTTAGTTTTCTTTAGGCTGCTAGGCTGCCAGGCTGCTAGGCTGCTAACTTCACAAATTTCGAAGTGTCAAAAAAAAAAAAAAAGTTCAATTTTTAAAAAAATAAAGTTCGCGATACTGAAAAAAGACGTGGAATAGTCTAAGTATGTGCTACCGACTCATTTCCGACGGTTTTCATGTTTGTATTATCCTTAGTTTTCTTTAGGCTGCTAGGCTGCCAGGCTGCTAGGCTGCTAACTTCACAAATTTCGAAGTGTCAAAAAAAAAAAAAAAGTTCAATATTTAAAAAAATAAAGTTCGCGATACAGCATGCCCATTCACGCACTACAGTGCGTAATTCACGCACAAAATTCTAGATGCACGCATAAAAATTGTAAGCAGGGGGTACATGCACGCAAAGTAAAATCGTCAGAATGAATGTTTGGGATAGCCTATGTACGCTTAATTTTGCCTGGGGACGCATCAAACGACCACAAATACACAAATACGTCAGCGCGTGTCAGTCTATAGGTAGGCGGTCCTATGCACATCGACCCGTGAAGCGATTAGCCAATCAGCGATAACACTTTCAATCATTATCACGCAATAGAGATCAGACTAATGTATACACGCGCTGTACATGTAATTACCAGATATAACACGAGGTGATAATTTAACATCTTTGATCAACAGTTGATTGGAAATTAGCAAATTTTACCGACAAAAAGATAAGAATATCGACTATTTACGCCGCAAGTTTAAAGACTGTTTTCTCAAATTACAAATGAGTGTAATTTTGAATTATTCTCGAAATTTTCGGCACTTTCTAAGCAAAATTTTGCTTTCGTTTCATTCTTGCAAAAACGTTCTATAAGAGTTTAAATGATTTAACATATTGTGCCGAAATGCCAGGACAACTAACCAAAATACACGTACGCTTTTCTTTGATCCGAAAATTGATCCCGAACATCGGCGATTTCACGTTCGCCGGAATTTCAGAAACCCTAAAATTTTGCAAAAATTCTCAGTTTCCAAGCCAAACATGAGAATGAATTGTTCCTTTATTATTAAATCAGCATTAAATCTTTAAATATCGATCTTCAATTTGCCCCCATTTTGAAGATATTTGCTAAAATAATTGTCGATCGAATGAATCTCTAACACACTGTGTGAAGCTGTACACGATTTTCCTATTCATTCCGCTAAACCCTGCCTATATACATTTACGTTTTTTTTTACAAATATAAACTTTTTGTCTATAGAGTGGACTTATTTAACCAGAATAAAATTTGATTTGGTATAAAAGTGAAAAAAAAAAAACAAACAAAAAACGATTTCCATGTGTTGATGCATTAAAATGAAATAATTTCATGAAAAATATTAACAAAACAAAACAATAATTATACTATATTATACTACATTTATATAAAATGTTCTTACAAACAAAAACATGTTTAAACTTATGTGTACCCCCAGATTTTGAAATGTACCCCCAATTTTCAATGACAGGGGGTACATGTACCCCTACATTTAAAATTGAGTGGGCATGCTGGCGATACTGAAAAAAGACGTGGAATAGTCTAAGTATGTGCTATCGACTCATTTCCGACGGTTACATGTTTGTATTTTCCTAGTTTTCTTTAGGCTGCCAGGCTGCTAGGCTGCTAACTTCACAAATTTCGAAGCGTCAAAATAAAAAAAAACAAAGTTCAATATTTAAAAAAATAAAGATCGCGATACTGAAATAAGACGTGCAATGGTCTAAGTATGTGCTTCCGATTCATATCCGACGATTTCATGTTTGTACTATTCTTAGTTTACTTTAGGCTGCTAGGCTGCCAGGCTGCTAGGCTGCTAGGCTGCCAACTTCAGGCTGCTGGGCTGCTAGGCTGCTAGGCTGCCAACTTCACGAACATTGAAATATTAGAGAATAATAACTAATTGGTGGTATAAGATATGAAAGGTTTTGCATTTCTGGATACTTACCAACAATTGTGCTATTAGCGTCACGGCTCACCCTATCTGGTATGTCATCTATTTCATTGTTGGCCTTAAATATACATTACATACTATTCATGTATAAAATATAAAATTTCTGCAACATATTTATCTTGCGTGTCAATGTTATGACTTATGTTTGTTTCATGATATATCACATTACTGTCTTACAAAGAAGTCAAGATTATTCGAGGAATCAAAGGATGAATGATTTTCGCATAACAAGGACAATTCCTAACAATATCAATGGTCTTGGTTTCCGGAACGAACGATGCGTGCGCATCTCATCGTAAATGTATATATAATAGGGAGGCAATAGAAACGGCAAGCGCACGTTTGTTTCCTTCTTTGTAATGAAGGATTAACCTTTCTTTCCTTTTGCGTTGATAAGGCTAACAGATGATAATTCTAAACAAATTGATTTTTCAGTTAAACATTACTAATGGTAATTGTAACAAGAAACTAATGTTTTTACAGGAAACTTACGTTCACAATTTGCTCGGTTAAGTTGGTTCCCTTTGCACTGTCCATACTAGTTCTTGCGTCACTTATGTCTGGAAACTGAAGTCACGTGATAAATTTGAAAACTGATATTCAGATTCATTTGAACAGTTGTGTAGTCTTAAGATTAAAGAAAACGGTTTATTACACAATATTTATAGTATGATTTTTTACCTGCATAATTCATTACATGTATGTAAATATTTAATCAATTATAAGGGAATTCAGTATGACGTCATTGCACGCGGAAGCATGGTAGCATATTTATGACAAAACATGTTTCAAATAATAATTTATAGTAAACGTTTATCAGCTTTGTCAATAACATTAGAAAATAAACTCGCAAATTTGCAGCCGGCTTTGAAATGATCGTCCCGGTGGATTTTGGTAGTTGTACCTATTACGATACCGTATACCCTGGTTCACGTGCACGTATTCAGTGATTGGTTTACAAATTGTGAAGTATAATACATACTGCACTAGTATCTATATCCGGTGAAGCGCCAGTATAATCCGGTTTACCAGTCGTAGGACAGGCGCCGGCGCAAGTTGCAAATGCATCGTCTAACTTAGTAATGACGTCATCTAATGCAGTTTTTAGGTCCGTTACAGCCGTCTCCATGGAAGTTTTATTAGCTTCAACAGCCGACAACGCTTCGTCTGCTGCAGTTAGACCTGTAAACATGACGGAATGTGTGATATCATGTACAATGCGCTCAAATCAACAAATATGTCAAACTTAATTTTACCGGTACAGTTATTAAGCAGAAAAAGACATATTTCTTCAAAAGGTTAAAATCATATTCATAGTTATCGAACATGACCCAGTTTTTACAGGTTTATCGTACATTTTAATTTTTTAAAGCGGCATGCCTCCAGATTCATGCTTATTTTCATTATTTATTTTTTTAATTTGGTGAAATGTAAAATATTGTGAAAAATATTGTGAAAGGAACAAAGAAATTAAATTTCACATTACAAACGGCAATAACAATCTACGTAAATCTGCGTTAGTCACTAGTAGAAATAGTGTGATATATATTGCAAAAACAGTCATAAAACTCACATAACATGTAAAATATTTCTTCAATCTTGAGTCTTTATAATTTTTAAAATCTAAGTACATTCACCTCAAGTTTGATTTTCTTGAAATATTTTTGGCTCATCCGGAGGCATGCAGCTAAGGTTAAGGTTAATGTATATAGTTCGAAACCCCAGTGTGCCACACGGTGGCTATAGTTATTCATTTACTAGTACACATGTACTACAATTACATTGATAATCAAATTTGTATGTTTTATTGTATTATTTTTATTAGTCACATAAAGTCACGAAAACAAATCTTTTCGCAACACATTTTATATCACGTATTATAATGGGCCTGACTTGAGTTTTATGTGGCTATCTGCCCATCTATATACATGTATAGGAACATCTGCGTTGTTTACGGATCAAATCTATACATTGGACACAAAAGATAAATAGTTTGGCTGTTCAAAAATCACGTACGGTATGGTATCAAAAACATCTTTTAAAAACATATCAGAATAACAAAGGTTTATAATTACTATCCGCTAATGAATAAGCAGACGACAGTACGCTCGTGATGTTCGTATTATCTTCAATATCCGTCTTCAATGGCAGTCCCACAAGGTAACCAATATCTGTAAATTATTGATTCACATTTAAACGATGGATTATACCGTATACCGTGACATACAGTTTTATTGTTTGTGTTAATTATGCATGATCAAATTACAGAAGAGAACCGTTTAGTACATTAAAACTTTAGAAGTATAGAAACATGTACACAAAAATCGTGACAGTGTGATTTTCTAAATTAAAAGTAGTAAGCCTGTGCCTACAGTACATACAGCCGAGCCAGTGTGCACATCCGGGCAGTCTGAACATGTTTTATACGTTTACTAGCTTATTTTTTGTATTTTTATATTGAAATCCCTTATATTTTAAATAGACCGTTCCCAATTTAATGCTGGGCAAATCCATTACACAAAATCAAAGGGGTGAAAGGTTTTAAAGTCACGTTGACATTTAATGATCATGTGCTCAACTGAATGACAAAGACTTCCGGTACCAATACATCATTTCCGGTACAAACAGCCAATAAAGTAGAGCCATCGATATTACGTAAGCTATCACGTGATTTTAAGGCAGCGACCTTAAATACGCATCTACAGCGGTCCTTATAAAATTTCTTGCCAATGTAATTAAAAGCTCGCTTCGAGCTCGCTAATAAAGTAATTGATTGAATATTTCAAAAGATTTTCTTATCAAATTTTGACATACTGAAAAAGATAAATAAGTCGTTTTAGACTCTACTGCAGTATAGCATATTGAACAGTATTTCAATACAGTGACATTTCATAACCCACTTTGTTATGCACACAAAAAAGAAAAATGACAGAAAATTCGTATTGGTTAGATAAATAATGAATAAGGAAACTGAATATTGAATTTCATACTTGGCGGAAAAAGTCAGTTATTTTGATATCTATGTTCTTTTATACAGTGAAACTTAAGCAGGAAGTGATGCATATAGCGAAACTATATTTTGAATAACAACAAAATCTTACTATCTAGATCTCTAAATAAGGTTGTTTCTACAAACTTGAAGTTATTAGTGACGATATGCTGTGCCTCCTGAAATATAAAAACAATGACATCATAATCTATAGCATGACAAAGTTGTTTCCCGCAATGTATTGATTGGTCAAACAAAAGTTATTTATTTATACCCTTCCATTTATAATTAAGTTTTAGATTAATGCAACAGTCCAAAAACAACCCTATCAAAGTTGGAATGCACGGAATGACTGGTGGAAATGAGATTGTGTCTTTTTCTTCTTCGCGAACTTCCGGGGAAAGGTGATGGTAAATGTTTGATAGGGAATATGTCCTGCTCATTTAGCGACGGGACGAAATTGGGGGTAACTGTTTCCACAGGATGGAGCCTTTATAATGATTTTGATGGTCCGAAATAGAAAGTATTCACTATTTTTCGGCAAGTGAGGGGTCTCTCTTTTACTTAATATTTTAACTGACCTTGAACATAACCTACATTTTTAATTGGTTGGAATAACTTCCGGCTGTAATTAAACGTAATAATTATGTTATATGTCATTTGTTGAAGACTGTCCAATTATGGCATTGGTAGTGAAGAAAAAAAAAGAAAAAAGGCGGACATTTTGAAGATGTTAAAAATTCTTCATGACTAGGTAAAATCAGTTTCATTACACGGTCAATTCATTTCATCGGTTGTAGATTTAAATTATTTTCCGAATCATTTATTCTCCAAAATGTCACTAATGGTAATACAAGTAAACAATCAACAGCAAAGAATGTTTAACTTACATTAACTGTGTTGTTTACAAATGTTCTGATATCATTAATATTGTCTTCGGCAGTTTCCGGAATATTGTTTAATGTTGTCGTCATATTGTCGTTGTTTACATATATACATATTGTCCCAACCCTGAAAATACAAGATCAATTACCATTTTTTTAAATAAAAGAATATCTGTGACAATGGTATTTGAAGATTTTATCTTATTATGTTTCTGGAAGACTCGTATTACTTATTACATTGTAAAAGTTACTGACTTTGTAACCACTTGCCCCTCACCGCTGTAGGTTCAAATCCCACTTGTAACTATGATATCTTTCATGTGAGGAAGCTATCCGGCTTGCTTACGGGAGGTCACGGGTTTTACTAAGGTGGCCGCTCGTGTCTGAAATATTGCACGGAGGAGTCCCTGAGGTCTTCCTCCACCAAAACGAAATTCAGAGCTCCAGTGATCTCATGAAGGTATATGACTTAAATTCAAACGTGTAGATGATATAATCAAAGCGAGGCTTATGTATAAGAAACGTGTTCGTGATCTCGGTCACACGGTTTCGGGCAATAAAATTTCATTGTTACCATTGTTTGTTTTTACCTAGCCTATTCTTTATTGCCCCTATTATCAACAGTTAATTAAAAGCACGCCATCCTAAAGCAGGTCTTGACCCCTAAAAGTTGTAGAGCAAATTATATTAATCGACCTGATTTATTTTACTTACAATACAAATACAGTTGATACAAAAAGAATGCCGGCGAATGTGTACTTCCGGCATGTGTTATCAGCGCTTTTCTGTAGTTGTTGCTTTTTCCCGCCACAATTTCCACACAGCCGACAGCAGCAGAAACAGCAGGCGACAATTGGGAAAATGAGCATAAACAGCACTCCAATAACCACACATATAGCATACCCGAGGAAATAATTGACATACTGTAAAAACACAACATAAATACATAAAATAAACAGTATATTGTTTGTATACTCAATTGTACCGATATTACAAAAGTTACAGCCCTTGCCAAAAGTGGATAAACATTGAATGGGTGCATGTAATGCAAAAGTTACCTCCCTTGCTAAAAGCGGCAGCCAAAAGTGGGTACATGTAATACATGTACTCGTATATTTGCAAAATAAAAAACACAGCATAAACAATTGATTAAGATGAATTCTGTTATTTCTATATGGATAAAATTTTATTATAGCACCGATATCAATAAGATTTCTATCAGGGTACACATAGCTGAAAGAATTGTGTGAAATAAGGGGAGGTTATGCATCCATAAGTGAAAAGCATCTATTCAGAAACTAAAACTGTTATATATATTAATGCATCATTAGAAGTTACTTTCAAATTAATTCATGAGATTGATAAGGCTGAAACCACGTGACTTTATCATGTGACTTTCTGTTATCTACATTGGGCAGAAAACCAATACAAAAATGACGGTTCAAGTAGCGTTTTCTTTCATAATTTTACAAATTTTTCATTTTTTCATATTGGATGAATTGTAGTGAATGTTGTTTCTAACAATCAGCCCATGCACAAAGTGAGTGTTTGTTTAATTGGGTTTTATGCCATACGGAAACAGTATAGGTCATATGGCGACGTTCAAGCTTCGCTGGTGGAGGAATACCTCAGGCGTTCTTCCGTGCTTTTTTTCAGGCACGAACAGGCACCTGAGTAGAACCACCGACGTTATGAAAGCTAGCTGGGATAGCTTCCTCACATGAAAGAATCCATATAGTTAGTTTTTCGACCTCTGGCAATGTTTAAATCTGACAACATGTTGTTAAAAGTGTTATGCTGACTCAGCTATGGCACAAAAAAATGTTCGAAAAGGTGTCAAACGTTCCAAGTGGTAGAAACAATCGATTTGATCTCGCCAAATGTATTTTTTCCAGGATATCTGCAAAGTATATCTAAATTGTTTAAAAAGATTAATACTTCTCGGGCTTGAGGGTTTAATTATTGAATAATTTATAAAAAATATATCACTGAAATATGACCCAGGCCTACGTAAAAAAATAAAATTCTGTCTATCTAAAAATGTTAACATAATCCCATTAATATTATGTAACAGCAGATAAGCTGTGCACTGTGCAATGATTGTATTTCTCAAGGACGTAAGAGGTATTAAGTTACAAGCTTTCAATATCAATAATTATTCTATTTATGAGCGTTATTCTTTAAATAGACGCGTTCGTTTCGTTTACCCTTGAATACAATGTCCACATTATAATCGAGCTACAAAATCATCTAAAAAATATGCAGACAAGGAAATTTAATTGAATGGTGTATGATGACGCTTTAAAAAAGACACTGACTTTTTGTATTCATGCTCAATCTTGTAGGTTTATTTTTGAAACGAGTTGATACTTCACATTAATCAAATGAACAAAGTTATTATCTGGTTTAAATATATTTATTTAAGCTCGATTGCGAAACAAGTTCTTGCAACTTATATTAATCACTTTCGATTCGGCTTCCTTGAACCAACTAGAACTTTTGGCATATGAAGAAATATGGTCGTGGCCTGATTAGGGCTCGAACCCATGATTCCTGGGTTGAGAGGCAGACAACTTAAACACTAGGTCACCGCTCTCATTTTGGTAATTACATGTATATAATGACTAATTTTACTCTGTAATACATGAACCATTGTCAAAATTTGAATTTTAGTTAGTACGCGTTTGTTTTATATGCGTAGTTTAAGTTTTATTGCTGCCACATATTTCAGCTTTTAACAATATTTTAATGTTTCAATGTTGTTTTAGATGGGTTTTCTTATTATTATTTGTGATTATGTTCTTAATCTCTCATATCTCTTTTAGATTATTTTTGTACACGTATTTCTTTTATAACATTTTTAAATTTTGATAATGTATGTACAAAAGTGAGTCTTAGATAAACAAAATTAATTGTCTTGTTTTTTCTTGTCTTGTCTAATTAAAGTATAAATTTGTACTTCAATGTTCGCTATCTACAAAAGAGTATTTATCTCTAAAATTTAGCAAAAGTTTGACTGTAATGGTACTATTACATGTAATATATTTTTCTTTGCATATATGTAATATTAATGCCATTTAATGGTACAGTTAATTCTAATTCTTTGCATTATTTATAGGTCACGTAAACAGTAAAAAAAAGTAAAAGTTCGGAGATCTTCGGTTTACACTATGGAATCGGCAGACAATGAATAGTAATATTAATATTTTGGAATACTCACGGATTGATAGTTGTCGACAACTGTTCCAAAGTCACCTGCAAGACCTTTCTGAATTATTTCTGAAAATTAAATACAAATAAACAATTAGTTCGGCTAAATATCTTAAATGGACTTCTCAATCATTCAGTCTGGACAAAACCATTCATAATATACCGGAAAAATTCAAAATATGAGCCGTGTCATGACAAAACCAACATAATGTTTTTGCTGGCCGCAAACGTACTATGTTGGTTTTGTCGTGACGCGGCTCATATGTATATATTGTACTAAAATTTAATGACTAGCGAAGAGTGCAGACCATGATCTGTCGGTTAGTCTTGGTCGGCACCGGTCGAGATAAGACGTAACACTACAACAGATCTAGATAAATATCCTAACAATATAGACATGGACAAAAGATCAAAGTGTGAGTTTAACATCTGTATTGCACGTGCATGTATTTTGAAGTGACGTCGTTGAACAAACATAACGCAAAGACGCGCAAAATGAAAAAGTTATTCTTTTTCACTTAAAAAAAGTCTTTATTTTCGGTATGTGATAAAAAGAATATTATATTTGTGTAGGTTCATTAATGAATTTATTGAACACGTTAAATAAAATAATAATATATATTTATAATATAATTTTATTCAACTCGTTCAATAAATTCAGTAATAGTAAACTTACACTCATCAGTGTCTTTCAAATAGAAAGACCCTGCACTTATTCAAAATCCTCTAAATCTTTTTGGATTTTCGTCCCGGTTGTTGTTGTTTTTTTGTGTTTTTTTTAATTAATTATTTATTTATTTATTTATTAATTTATTTAATTTTACATTTCCCGGCTTATGGACCTCAATAAAGCTTCTATTTCTGTCTAAAATTAGATATTCTTACCGTCAGGAATTCCTTTCATAAATACTGAATTTATGAAATTGTGAGCAAAATCATAGTACGCTTCGAGGCCTTCGCTAACTCTCTCTGGATTCCCGGCCGCAAACGGTTCGCCGGTTGGCAAACTAGCCCAGGAAATCGCCGATGAATTGTCTGCACTGTTTCCGCTGACATCAGTAACTGTTTGCGGTGAGTAAACTGGGTCAGCGCCATTTATGCTGGGAACCAGTGCGAGGATGTAGACAAAGATGAAAGAAGCCAATACCGGGTAGTTTTTCACGAAATCCGGCATATTACTTGATCTGAAAATTGTATAAAAAAAATCAAAATAATTTATTGTGCTAAGATATATGCATTTTCATTAGAAATATAATACATGATCTCATTTAAAGTAATAAATGACCTGAATTATGACAATCAACACAAAACCAATAAATATATTCATAGAAATATTACCAATATTGTGTGAAGTGTAACTATAAAAGACAGGTAAAAATGTCCGTCTGAAATGTTGCCGTCTGAACGAAATACTGCTGGTACAATGTTCGTCTGAACAAAATATTGAAAACATTCAAAAGAAGGAAATATCTTATAAAAATCACTTAATATAATAAATTACCTGTATTATGAACCTAGTAAAACACCGATTATTCTATAAGCAAATCCGGATTACTGTAAATTTGAAATTTCATCTTTTTTTGTATTGATTAAGCCAAAGGCAGGACAATTAAGTAACAGATGGTACTTATCGTTTTCTTATCTTGGATTTCACAATTTTAATAGAGAACAATGCAAATAGCAACACAATATTTTGATATTCGTGAAAATATTTAAAACTGAACAATACCTTTTTTGTTCCGGTGATATGAAATTTCGTTATTTTATCCCTCATTTAATTATACAGAAACTGTTTACATTGTATTCAGCTTTATCCTATTAAGAGTTCATTAAATTTTACACAAAAAAACTATTAAATCTTCTAAAAATCTTGAATGTTTTATGACACAAAGTTTAAAGCGCATTTATTTCTACAACCATTTTGCTGCAGAATGAACATTTTTGTGATAGTACACAACCGTGACATTTAAAACTGTTTTAAATACAAAAAATATATATCCAATTTCATCACGCTTAACTGTTGTTTAAATGTTATCCGCAAAGATTTTTTAAGTGTATAGCGTGTCAATGAAAAAAAATCACATATTTTCATATAAGGATGTAAGCGGCATGTTGTCTATTGATTGTCATCGTCTTAGAACAGAATTAATGATGACTTATAAAAACTAAATATGCCGTTATATTAAAGCAATAAATATGGTAGTGTCTATCTTTTTTCCCCTTTCCACACGTGTGAACATGTTAAGCTAGCCGAACAAAGCCGGTTATTTCCCTCAATGTATAAACATTTTTTCACTACTATTGTTTGTTTGTTAAACGGGTACATAAACAAAATAGCATGTATATAAGGATCGATATCGCCTTATTACGCGTAACAGCAACAGGTATATATCGGGCGAGCATTGATTCTATGGAAAGAAACATGCGATAATAACAACAAAATAGAATCAATAGAAATCTGCGCAGTGGTTATCTGTTTTGTGGCATCATTTCTACTCGGAACTTCTCGCCGATCTCCGAGATCGGAACATCTCGGCTATTATTCCCTGCGGTCTGGAGACCGCAGGGTATTGGTACGCGTTTAACTTTTGAGGCATGGAGGAGCACGTGACCAGTTTTCGGTACATGGAGGAGCATGTGATCTGTAAACCGTACATGATTGGTTAATTGACCCTTTCGAAAACCTGGCTAAATACCATTTGCCGGTACGTTACGGATTTACCTCTAGGGAATTAGGCAGAATTACATCTAATTAAGAACAAAAACTATTACGTGATATTTCTAATTTTCTATAAATATTTTACCGTTTAAGGTGGAAAAACTTGAATGATGTGTTTGAAAATTATCAATGTTTCTTTAATTTGTATCTCAAATTTTACAGACAATAAATTGTTTACACTGAAAATCTACAAAATTAAAATATTCGATCGTAGTGGCATCTGCCATTCATAAAATGGTAGCCCTATTTAATCATTTTCTTAAAAAGAAATAATTGTTTTATGTTCGACTTTCTCCGGTCATCAACGGTCACCAGTTTCCAAAGACCTTCTTCTATAGTGATCGACTTTATGTCGTCCCACCAAACAATGTTGAAAATAGTTAAATGAAATATCTTATATCATTAAAAATGTTCCCCGCAGGAAACCATTTTACTTGTCAATAATAATTGACCGAAGACTGACGGAAAGGGCCGAAAAAATGCGATTGCTCCGGGGTAAATGTACCACGTGATATTCTATGGTGTGAGCTTTTCATAATGAGTAACGAATGTATTTATTGATCAACCGTTGGAAAATTAAGTATATCGAAAATTTATGATCTGATAATCAGAATCAATTTGAGAATATCCATTTGCAACCATTTTAGCTTGTAAATTTTAATATACACTGTATGTTATAGTATATTGTATTTTAGAAACAGAAAGTACAAAATGTTTACCTGTTGACGATGTTTTAGATTTGGATAAAATTGTATGTCAATTGCCATTCTTATGTGTACAGTTAGACATATTTTTTCAACCACAATATTACCGATACTGGGTACAGACTTTACTTTTAAATTATTAATCAAAACGCTATAATGTTAATTTTTTAAATGCTTAGTATTTTTGCGTATATTTATAGTTTCCAAAAAGTTATTCATTGGCCAATTTTCTGACCTATCTTGTTCTTATGTTGCTTTTGGCAATTGAAACAGTTATAGTGATGTAATAGTTTGTAAGGAAGTCAAATTACTAGTAATTTGTTTACACTTTGTTGCTTTTGTGAAAACAACACCGATAGTGCCGATATAATAAGACAAAATAATGGGGATCACTAATTTACGCGGATATTACTTCCGCTGCCGATTTTCGTATATCGCTGTTCTATTTCACACCCTACTGTCGCTAAGAAATAGTTCTAAATTAATAAACAAAAGAAATAATCAGAAAAAAATGTTATTTTATTAAGTTTTTAACAATTTAAACTTACGTGCCAAACCGGATTGTATTGTGATTATTTCAGTGCTTGATGTCAGTTTAAAAATGACGTCATTCGGGCGACGCTATGAATGAATGACGTCATTACGCTGCTTACAGATTGGCGCCGATTTTTCATTAAAAATTGTGTATGTGAGATATTATTTTAGCATTACAATGTATATGAAAATAAAACAATTTAAGAACGGAAAATATCAATAAAAATGCATTATTATTGTTGCTTTAAAAAGGCTTTGTAAACTATATTATCGAAGGAGAAAAAATAACAGACGCATATACATGTGTTTATTGGCAATTTAACACCGGTTTACTTCTTTGTGTATAGTGATAAAATCACGAGGAGTGTGAGAATTCAAATTTAGCGCTACTTACTTCATGTAATAAGCATCTTTTAACACGCTCTAAAACCATTATTTAAACGTTATAAAATTCATATTTCTATATAAGTAAAAATTAACTTGTTTCTGAGGTATAATGTGCCTTTAATGGAGTTTTAAAAAAATACATTCGTTACTCATAAGAAGATTACAAACTCTATTTCTTACTTCATAAGTCACATTGTAGAACTACTTTCGTGCTTTGATTTGCAAAGTTACATGTATAAAAACATTCGTAATTCGTTGGCAATGAAAATAAATTCGTTGGCAATGAAAAAAAATGAGATAGGGCAACCGTGGCCGAGCAGTTAAGATCACCGACTTAAACTCGCTTGCCTCTCACTGCTGTTGTTTCGACTCCTGGTAGGAACTTTGGTTTCTTTAATGTGAGGAGGCTATCTAGCTTGCTTAGGATAAGTCAGTGGTTCCATTAAGGTGCCCGGTCATGCCTGAAATAATGCACACATGGGGCACCTGAGGTTGTCTTGAACAGTCGCCGTATGAAAGTGTCATGGTGACATAAAATCCAACAAAACAAAAAAAATACTTAAAGATACATAACTAAAACCGGACGGAATAATAACTGAACGCTATAAGCTTTGGAAATCAAAGCCTATAAAATGCAGTAATAAAGCATAGTGAAACAATATATAATGTATATACCGAGGAAAAGATATTATGTTACGCACTAGAAGAGTTCCCATTCTTCTCGAACTTTTAATTTTCACGAAATAATACATTAAATATGTAAACCATTTTCGAAGTATGTGCGAGAGTTTCCGGGAACGAGTAAACAATGATAAAAGAGAAAAAATGGACACATTTCGAGTGTAACAAATCGTTTTCAACGAAAAAAAAACACCCTTTCTTGTGAACTTTAAATCAAACTATTTCTGCAAATATTGATCGCTGTACAAGGATAATTAACTCGATCCGACAGTTTGCAAACGAGTTTAAACTGTTTGATTTGGCGATAATTTATAATTGTTCGGCCATTGTTCAGCCAGGTAAAATTTTCAGATTTGTTATCGATTATCCCATTATACCACAGTTCTCGGAAAACGTAAAAAAGCTTTACTTGGAAATGATATGCTTCATAAAGTAGCTTATCAATAATTTATAGTCTGCTGATCTATAAAATCAATTACTAGTCTTTCAATTTCTAATAAATAATAAAGTGGAAGAAAACTCAGATGTTTCATACTTTGTTTTGTCTTTTAGTTTTGCTCTGAATTAAATATATTCTATTTATGTGGTCTACAAACTTTCATGGTGACTTTAAGTGTTTTGTTGTTGTTGTTGGTGGTGGTGGTGGTGTTGGTAGTGGTGGTTTTATGGCTTTAAGTGTTGTTTTTGTTGTTGTTTTTGTTGTTGGTGGTGGTTTTTTGTCTATTTGACTGACTGTCACGTCGTTGTCTTTAAAGTATACTTTGTATAAAGACGTTCAGACTTCCTTTAAAATTTTCAAATCTCAAAGAAACATTTTTAATTCGCTTATAAGGGCATACTCCCGATGCTAGAGTATTTGATATTTCTTTCAAAAATACTTTTTACATTTTCTTTTTCATATTTCCTGTCCCGCGTCAGTTTTAACTCACTTCCTGCCTGGTGTCATTTTCTTTTCATATTTCCAGCCACGTGACATTTTCCATTTTTCTGCTGTGTGTCATTTTTTTACTTCCTGTCTCGTATCATATAATACATTTTTCCTACTTCGTGTCGATGATCGTCCTACATGTTGTCATTTTTTTTCGAATTTCCTGTCTCGTGACAATTTTACATACTTCCTGCCTCATTGTCATTTTTATTCGACCTACCTCGTGTCATTTTCTTTTAATAGTTCATGAGTTGTGTCATTTTCAACATACTTCCTGTCTTGTCTATTTTTTTTCATACTTCTTGCCTCGTGTCATTCTTTAAATTTCCTCTCTCTTGTCATTTTTACAGACTTCTTACCTCATTTCATTTTTACATACTTCCTGGGTGTCATTTTTTACAAACATCCTGCATCGTGTTATTTTATTCTCACCCTTCTTGCCTCGTTTTATTTTTCATACTTCTTGCCTCGTGTCATTTTTCATATTTTTCTGTCTCATTTTATATATACTTTTGGCCTCGTGTTATTTTTACAAACTTTCTCACACATGTCATTTTTTTTTCAAACTTCCTGTATCATGTCATTTTTCATACTTCTTACCTCATGTCATTTGTACATGCTTCCTGCCTGGTGTCATTTTTTTTACAAATACCAGTATCGTGTCATTTTATTCCAAAACTTCATGCCTAGTGTCATTTTTCATACTTTCTGTATCATGTCATTTTTCATACTTCTTACCTCATGTCATTTTCACATACTTCCTGTCCGGTGTCATTTTTTCAAACTCCCTGTCTCGTGTCATTTTATTCTCATACTTGCTGCCTAATGTCATTTTCACATCCTTCCTGTCTGGAGTCCCGCCTACATGACTGAAATACTGTTGGGAAAAAGCGTAAAATGAAACAAACAAACAAAACAAACTGTCTGGAGTCATTTGTTTTACATACTTCCTGCCTCTCTCATACTTTCAGCTTCGCGTCATTGTTACATTCTTCCTGCCGCGTGTCATTTTATTTTCATAGCTCCTGTCTGTGTCATTTTTTTACTTACTACATGTATCTACCTAGTGTCAGTTTTTCATTATTCCTGAATCGTGAATGGAACATAAAAAATATGTTTTGAGTCTGATTTATTACTCTGAGTGCATGTGCGTGTCACAGGCAGATTTATTATCATTATATATTATCTTATATAGCTACTCTAAAGTAAATAGACTCAACAGGTTTTATTATTTTACGAACTTTGGACGTTTTTATGGCTGCTCGTAAGTTACTGCCGTCTAACGGCACGGGTAAACCCCTATAACATTTTGTCTCGACTAAATCATGAAATTATGTATTTCTACTTATACA